TCGATATATTAATTAGTATACTAACAGATAATGTGACATAATTTTAGAAGTTTTGAATATTTGTAATTTGTATTAGGGGTGAAGTTATAATTTTGAAATAATAATGTTACTATATATGTTAATACACTAATTGATGTACCAATTAGTTCATGTAATCCCATCTTATTTTGATCTCTTTTGAAAAGATGGCTTAAAAGCTAAATTTTGATTTTATTTTGGATCATATTATCTATTTATTTTTTTATACGATTTAAAAAAAAATAAAAATTTAATTAATTTTCCAAAACAATCCTTTATTAGCGTTTTCTAACATTTTTTTGTCTTTATTTAGGGCATTAAATCCAAATCCCAAACGATGGAAGTCAAAAGGGTAGCAATTGCAACTCCTTCGTAATTAAACGCACCCCTAATTTGAGTCAACCTTGGTAATTATACAGTTCAAATTCAAGTCAACCAAGACGCCAAGGAGGCACGTGTGATGAGTGGAACTTATCTATCATCAGCAACATCAACGACGGACATGATGAAGCAACCTTCACCATTAATTTAAGAAAAATGCTTAGAAATTTTTTAAAAAATTATTAAATTTTTTTATTAAATATCTCACAAGATTCATACTATATAAATCTTATATAAATTTTATATTTATGAAAAATATTTGATAAAAAATTTAATAAAATTTTTAGAATCTTGATTTAGATCTCGTTTAATAATCTTCAATTTTAATTAAAAAATTAAAAAATTATTATAAATTATTATATCATTTTATTTATTTATTTATATGCGTTTTTTAATAAAAAACTAAAAACTTATTAAAATAACCTATTCACACACAAAGTAATCCTACGTCATGATGGGGCTTTGCCCATTTGGGATCAAAAGGTGTACTCAAATGGAATGGTATGATTCAGTGGGCACTGAGGTTTTTTGAAAGTGACTTTATGACATCATACATTCGTCTTTGTAAAAACAGTCAAATATGATTTTGAGTCTGTCTCGTTTGGAAAAAGATTATTTTAATAATTTTTTAAATTTTTAATTAAAATATAGATTTTGAGTTTGTCTCACATGGAAAAAGATTATTTTAATAATTTTTTAAATTTTTAATTAAAATATAAATTAAAAAAAGTAATATATTTGATATGATTTTTTAATTTTTTATAAAAATATGTACAAAAAATTTAAAAAAAGAAAATTTTTGACTTTTTGATATAAATTGTTGACTTTTTAATTTTTTTAGTGATTTTTTAAATTTTTAATTAAAATCACCACTTGCCAAACGATGCCATAATTTTTAAAATTTTTATTTTTTATATTTTTGGATCTTTAATTAAATTTTTTAGTAATTAAATACATTTAACTTAGATGAATCTAAAAATTAATACACTTGTGATTTTTTATAAAAAAAAATTATCAAATACAAAAATACATAATTGTGTTTTTTTTTGTATTTGTTATTTTATTTATACAAAAATATTTTATTTATAATTGTATTTAGGTTAAGTATATTTAAAAAATAAAAATTAATTAAAATATAAAAATAAGTTCACTACAAATTCCAGAACATAAAAATAAAAAACTCAAAAATGATATTTACAAACTCAAAACTAAAACATGGTGATTTTTTTCTTATTTTTGACAAAATGATTATGTATCGCCCTTATAACATAGGCACACAGTGGTAGGTTACAAAATATTACGTTTTTAACACGTCTTTGTTCTATTGGCTTCTGTTTGGGAGGAGGCTTTTTGGATTTTTTTGGTTAAAATAGTTACAAAAAATAAAATAGATTATTTTAGTCATAATAAACAAAATATCACATCTAACCCATAATCATTACACTCTTCTCTCATAAAAAAAAAGTCAAAAAGTCCTTTCCAAACCAAATTTTTTAGCCCAAGTTAAAATAGTCAAAAAAATCAAAAAATCAAAAAGTCAAAAAATCAACCCACTTCCCAAACCAAGCCTGTGTCATATATTCTGATCAATTCCTATCACAATAAAAATTTATAAAATTATTATTTTTTTAAAAATATTCAAAACAATATAATTTTTTACAAAAAAATCAAAAAGTCAAAAAATCAACTCACTTCCCAAACCAAGCCTGTGTCATATATTCTGGTCAATTCCTATCACAATAAAAATTTATAAAATTATTATTTTTTTAAAAATATTCAAAACAATATAATTTTTTAAACACTAGTCAAGTAGACACTACAAAATAATTAAAATTTTAGAGACAAATTTAGGGATAAAATTATTTTTTAGGGACCAAATATTTTTGTTGCGAAAGTGTCGATATTATTTTTGTAGCAACAAAAATTAAAAATTAGTAATGAATTATTATTCTTTTGGGACCAAATTCTGTCTAAAAAAATAAACCATTTCGAGACCAAATTGTTTTGTTTCTAAAAATCTATTTATTAGTGATATTTTCAAAATTTTATCGCTAAAAACTTTGTTCTTACTTTTCAAAAGGACTTTTTAGCGACTGTCCTTACGACGATGAAAATTAGTCCCTAAGGGTTGGTTTGAGAAGTGGGTTGACTTTTTGATTTTTTGTTTTGTTTTTTTTTGACTATTTTAGCCTGGGCTAAAAAGCTTGGTTTAGGAAGCGTTTTTTTGTTTTTTGACTTTTTTTGTGAGAGAAAAGTGTAATGATTATGGGTTAGATATGATGTTTTGTTTGTTGTGACTAAAATAGCATATTTTGTCTTTTGTGGCTAAAATAGCCAAAAAAGCCCACAAAATAATGTCTTTTGTAATAAAATTTTCACTTTTAAAAATTAAAATATTTAGTCTATAAAACTCTTATATATTGTAGTGAGAGTAGATTCTTTTTTCTTTTCTTTTCTTTTTTTCTAGATAAATAAACTAGAATTAAACAATCAAAATAATTTTGACTTAAAAATAACAATAAAAAATGGCATGTTTCTGTTGAAATATATTGGACAAACAACTTTGCCGCTTTCATCTTATTGCCATTTTGTATTATAAATTGTTTGATTAAACAATGTTTTCTCAAATGTCATTATTTTATTTTATTTTTTACAGTTAATCAAATTCGACCCTTGTTATCCCCTTTACAATAATTCTGATAAAAATAAAATATAATTTTTAGTTGCCAAAAAAAGTAAGAAAAAACTAAATCCTTAAATTAATTGGCCAGTATTATTCAACCGAAATCAGTGGCTGTTAGGATAATAAAGACAAGAAGCATGACAAATGAGAAAAAAAATAATATATGGGCTGGGCTTGTTTAACAAAAACAATTTCTATTTCTCTTCTACACACCATTTTTTCATAATTTATATATTATTTTTAGTTTGTATTATTATATATCAACTTAAAATTTTTTTTTTATACCTAATTTGAAAATCAACTTTTGAAAAAAAAATCTATGGGTACACCACAGTGGGTTTGAAGTGGGTTTGAATGATCTAGAGTTTTTCATTTATATTATTCACACAAAAAACTAAGTTTATTTGATAATAATAACATGTTTACTTAATTGTATTTGTCACAAAAAAAAAAAAAAAATTAAAAAATATGATTTTCATTAATAAAAGTTATAATTGAATAGATAACAATTATTGAATCGAAATAATTTTTAATATCGATAATATGAATAAAAAATCTTTAAAATAAAAAAAATTAAATTATAAATTCAATTTTTTGAAAATTATGTTTTATGTTTTTTGTATTTTTTTTTCTTTTTAGTGAATTTTTAAAATTATTTTAAGCAATTTTTTTATATTTTAGATACACTAAATGTAAATATAATTAAAAAATACAATATTTGCGAATAAAACTTTAAAAAATTCATTAATACCAAAAATATAAAAATTTAATATATTTTTGTATTCTTGTGTATTTATTAATTTTTTTAAATATTTTATTTTTTAAGTATATCTAAATTAGGTGCATTTAAAAAGTAAAAAAAATATTTAATTATTAAAAAATATTACTAAAAATAAAAAATATGAAAATAAAAAAATTAATTTATAAAAAATTAAATTCGAAATATTGGAACCAAGTGAATACTCTCACCAAAAAAAACAAGGTCGATACTGATCAGGATTACCTCCTTGTATTTCCACCTTGCATTTCTTATTTGCAGGGTTATTGGGCCTACTTTTAGGCCTAATTTTGGTAATTCGAACCGTTCATATTTTAAGATTTGTTCAATATATCATACCTGTAAAAAATAAAATTGATCAGATATCAAAAAATATGTGTTCGAAAAACTCGAACTAAAAACTAGTTTTTTAAAAAATTTACATGCTTTCTGATATCCGATCAACTTAATTTTTTACAAATATGATGTACCGAATAAATCTTAAAATATGAACAGTTCAAATTATTAAAATTAGGCCTAAAAATGAGTCCAATGACCTTGCAAGTAAGAAATGTAAGAAGAAATGTAAGGAGGGAATCTTTATTGTGGATACTAGTCCGGACAATATCCTTTCTGTCCAAATCTAGACCGTAGAAAGCCCTGTCGAACCAACAAATTATCACCAAACACTTATTTATGACAATTAATTGAAAATAATAAAACCCACTGTCCACAATTCAGCAAATACATTTTGGTTGATTTTTTGTTTTTAAAATTTTTTTTAGTTATTTTAATTTTAGTTAAAAAGTTTATTTGAATTATATATTTTAAATTTTTGTAAAAAAAATAATTATACTTTAAATATGACATTTTGTTTTAAAAAAATATTATGGAACCTAAATATCTATCAAATCTTTTATCAAATTTCTCACATCAATGTGAGTCTCACAAAATTTGATAAAAAATTTAATAAATTATTTAAAATCTCCGATATAACTTTATATTTTATTAATTTATTAATTTATTTTATTTTTTAAAATTAATTTAACCAAAAAATCAGCTCAACCCAGCACCCAAACATCTCTGTCAGCTGTGTTGTGTGTATTAGTATTTCACTTCCAAATTATATATAAAAAAAAAAACAGAAAATAGTATATACGAATAAAAAGAGCTCTCGGAAGGTCAAAAACCAGTCTTCTCATGGCCGCCAATGCCTAACATATCCAAAATTTCTTCTGTCTCTCTCGCTAACAATTTCTTCCGTCTCTCTCTCTCTCTCTCTCTCTCTCTCTCTAAATCTTGAAATACACATCTTCTTCACTTCACATCTCCCTACATTCTCTCTCTATAAAACTCTCTCTCCCTCTCCCGAGGCAATTGGTTTATGTGTTCAAAAAGAGATGAGTGAGAGAGTGACGATAAGAGTGTTTCGATTGGAGCTCTGTTGTTGTTGTTAATAGTATGTGGGTTTTAGAGCGTTTGAAGGAGATCTAAGAGTAGGCAAATCTTCGATCAGATCAGATCAGATCGAGCTCAAAAATGGGAAGCAAATGGAGGAAAGCGAAGCTCGCTCTATCATGCCTTTATGTTCCCAGCACAGACGATAACTCCCCTCCCTCCGCCGGGAGGTTCTCCGACTCCGCTTTGCTCTCTCCGCCAATTTCTATCACTCCGACTCCCTCTTCCTCCGGTCTCCGCTTGCCCAAACACGCCTCCAAATCATCCAAAGTTCGTCTTTCTCATCACAGATCATAGCTTCTCTCTCTCTCTCTCTCTATATATATATATATATTTATATATAACACTATTTTCTACAGGTAGAGACGCTTAATTGAATCTTTGTTTTGTGATTCGAGATTTTTATGCTTTTGGCACCATTAATCTCACTTCTGTTTTATCTCTAAAGAGTAGTGATAGTTTTTTTTTTTTTAAACCATTATTTGTTTTTGTTTTGGTCTTCATTGATTGATTCTGAAATGGTTTGTGTATCTGTGAAATTGTATTTAATGTACAGAGCTATTAATTGCTGTGATTAATACTTCTTTTCTATTTCTTTGGCTAAGAGCATCTTCTTGTTATATTTTTACAATGAACACCGACAAAATGATATATTTTAGTATGTAAATGTTTTTTTTAAAATTTTTTTTCACAAAATATCAAATTAAAATGTTGTATGTTGTATGTGGATCTCACTATAGCTGAATCTTGTGTGAAATTTGAGATAAGGTGTAGCAATGCCATAACATGGTAGTCCATATAATTAGACATGAGAGAAGTTTTTCCTGAGTTTGTTTTTGGACTCTTTCATGTGGGGTAGTGCTAGCCTGTTAAGGGGTCTGGATGTGTAATAATGGTGATTTGTGAAGATGGGGGTCTTTGTTGTCGTGTAGTTTTCAGCTCTCATTGGCTCTGTGGGTGGTAAACTGATAAAGTAGGTATAAGTCCCTTTAGGGACCATTGTCTTCTACCCTCATTGTAAAAGGAAAACTACAGTTTACTCTTTAACCTTTTGCCCCTCCTTGAAAGGCAAGTGCTTTGTCTGGTCAGCAGCAGTACTATTCTACACACGGACCCATCTCTCTCTCTCTGTCTCTCTCTCTCTCTCTGTCTCTCTCTCTTCTTTTGATGATAATCTTAGAAAAGCCTGTAAACAGTTGATTGAGAACTTTTCTACAATATGCTTAGTGAGATGGGGTTTAAAAATGAATAATAATATTATACAACCAACTAATGATTTCTCCTCCTTATGATGGATGGATGGCTGGGCTTTGATTCCCCCCCCTCTCTTTTTTTTATTGCCTCTCTTTTTTTATTGCCTTGAAAGCTTCATCATTAGTCTGAGAATTGCTTGTTTGCCATTTTCTTTTTAAAAAGTTGCTCTCTTGATATATTCTTCTAAGTTTGACTCTACTAATTGTAAGTTATTTTAACCCACAATGATGCAGTTAAGTGAATTTTCCTTGATCTAGAGTATGATATGGATAGGTTGCATTGAATTTCTTCTTTTTATGCGCCTGGCTCAACAATGTGGCTTACATGCAGACATGAGGGCCAGTCTTTAATACCACGGGACCTTTAAGATTTGATGGCCATCTAATCGAGGCAATATTTTTTTCTTGATAATGGTGCTTTAGTTTTTAGTTTATGAAAAAATTCAACAATTCAGACCACTTTTGATTTGTGTCAACAGCCAGTATTTAATACCAAAGGACCTTTAAGATTTTGATGGCCATCTAATCGAGGCAATATTTTTTTCTTGATAATGGTGCTTTTAGTTTTTAGTTTATGAAAAAATTTAATAATTCAGACCAGTTTTAATTTGTGTCAACCTGTTGAATTCAACAAAATTTTGGGATGGGCCAGTAGGCTATTTGGTTGATAGGATTCCACTTATAATTGATTTTTGATTTAGCTTGATTTTTCTTAATAAAATAAAATACTTTCTGCCTTTGTAGAAGAAAGAAAAAAGTGGCTCAAAATGTTAATTGTTATTGTCTAGAGAGAACTATGTGCTGCGAGTCCTAATTTGTAGAGTAACAAAAAACCTTGAGGGATCAGGAAGTACCTCCAGGTTGAAGTAATTTCATTTCATTATGAATTCATTTGGAACTACTAACTAGGTCCTTTTGGATTGCTTGATTATGAAGTGCAGATAATTTCAAAGGGATGATCATTCAATATGTTGATTAAAATTGAAAAAAATTTAGTTCTAGGGGAAAAACTCTGTAGCTATTCTTTCTCAACATATTGGAGTCTCAATTTCATTTCTAAACAAACTAAATGAGCTGATCAAATCAACACTGAAATATCTCATTTCTTTTGAAAAAGTTATGATTGTGAAAATAAAGCGATATGCACGTCAATATGGGTTCTATGAATATCTAAAGCACAGGGGTGCTTGGGTTTTGATTGTATGTGGGGTTGCATTAAGGTGACATTATGTTAATCTCATATTGGCCTTTAATTTTTACTTTCAAGCTTTTTGATTCGTTATACTGTTTTTAGTCCTGATTCAATGTCCTTGAATCTGCCTTTTTACTTGTATTTCTTTCTAATTGTAGATGACTTGTGCAATATGCCTGACCAACATGAAACCAGGCCAGGGCCATGCCATTTTCACTGCAGAATGCTCCCACTCCTTCCACTTTCATTGCATTACTTCTAACGTAAAACATGGAAACCAAATTTGCCCCGTTTGCAGAGCAAAATGGAAGGAAATCCCCTTCCAGAATCCTTCTGATCTTTCCTGTGGAAGGGCAAGAATGAATAATGTTTCTTGGGCCCGTGATGATGCTTGGATGACTGTTTTAAGACGGCTTCCTTCCCTTCGTGCAGATGCCAATAGGCATGTTACATCTTTATTTCATGCCCCTGAACCAAATGTTTTTGATGATGATGAACTTGTTGATCACCAACCTGTGACTACTGGAAAGGGTTCATTCAATGATGATGTTGCCAATGACTGTTCTATTCGAGCAATAGAGGTCAAAACATACCCAGAAGTTTCTGCTGTTTCAAGATCAGCTTCTCATAATAATTTCACCATTCTAATCCATCTAAAAGCTCTTACAAGCAGAAGACAAAACTGCGGGGTTAATGATGCTGACTTGCCGCTAGCATCTCAAAATTCTCGTGCTCCAGTTGATCTTGTCACAGTGCTTGATGTCAGTGGCAGCATGTCAGGTACCAAGCTTGCTCTGCTAAAACGAGCCATGGGATTTGTGATACAGCATCTTGGCCCTTCTGATAGACTTTCGGTTATTGCCTTCTCCTCCACTGCTCGCCGTCTGTTTCCTCTTCGTCGAATGACTGTTACTGGAAGGCAGGAAGCGTTACAAGCCGTTAATACCCTGATTTCAAATGGTGGGACAAACATTGCTGATGGCCTAAAGAAGGGTGCCAAGGTGTTGATAGACCGCAAGTGGAAGAATCCAGTGGGCAGTATCATACTGTTATCTGATGGACAGGATACATACACTGTCAGCAGTCCTGGTGGGGCCCGTTCCCGAAGCGATTACCAGTCGCTTCTCCCATTGTCCATTCATCGGAATGGTGGTACAGGCCTCCACATTCCAGTACATGCTTTTGGGTTTGGTGCAGACCATGATGCTGCTTCGATGCACTCAATCTCTGAAAGTTCTGGGGGAACATTTTCTTTCATAGAAGCTGAGAGTGTCATTCAGGATGCTTTTGCACAGTGCATTGGAGGGCTTCTGAGTGTGGTGGTGCAGGAACTTCAGGTCAGAGTTGAGTGTGTTCTCCCCAGGCTGCAGCTTGGTTCAATAAGAGCAGGAAGTTACAAAACCAGTGTGATGCCTGATGCAAGACTGGGTTTTATCGATGTTGGTGACTTGTATGCTGAAGAAGAGAGAGACTTTCTAGTAACAGTTGATATTCCAGTTGATGGGTCCTGTAATGAGATGTCATTACTGAAAGTTGGATGTGTTTATAAAGACCCCATTACAAAAGAATCAGTAACCTTTGAAGAAGCCGATGTACTGAAGATTCAGAGGCCTGAAATAACTGGAGATTTAGTGGTGTCAGTGGAGGTGGACAGGCAGCGAAACAGGCTCCGAGCAGCTGAGGCTATGGCAGAAGCAAGAGCTGCTGCGGAACGGGGTGATCTAGCTGGTGCAGTGTTTATCCTGGAGTGTTGTCATAAAGCGTTGTCGGAAACCATGTCAATGCAAGCTGGTGATCGGTTATGCGCTGCATTGGGTGCAGAATTAAGGGCAATGCAAGAAAGGATGGCGAATCGCCATGTTTATGAGTCATCTGGTAGGGCTTACGTTTTGTCTGGATTGAGCTCACATTCATGGCAGAGAGCAACGGCACGAGGTGATTCAACAGATAGTACAAGCCTTGTGCAGGCTTACCAGACCCCATCAATGGTCAACATGGTTAACCGATCTCAGACTATGATCTTTGGTAGTCCTTCGCCGCAACCATCAGTCAGACGACTCAGACAAGCTCGATCGTTCCCTGCACGACCTCAGCCAAGGTAATCCTTGGCTTATTTTTTAAACTTCTCCTTGAATTATGTTCATAGGATCCATCTCAGCACCTCCTTTCTGTTTCTTGTTGTTTTGTTTTCTTTTTCATGGTTTTGGGTAAGTTGGGGATAACTTGAACAGAGATAGGGATAAGAGGGATTTGGGTATATTTCTTTGTTTAGTCTGCAGTGGACATGAATAAATTGGGGACAGCTGGGAAAATGGCTTTTGGGGAAATACGGTGAGAAGGAAAAAGTGCAAAGTTCGATTCCATGGTTTTGTATATAAAGTAGAATTAGTCCTTTTTCTTTCTTTCTTTCATTTCTCTTGTTTTTTTGGGGTCTCTTTGAGAGGAAATGGAGGAGGTATAGCCTTGTAATTGTGGGGATACGGAGGAGAAATTCTTCAATTGAGATATGATATATCCGCTCTTGATTCTTTTGACAAAGTCTCTTTTGGTGCAATATTCATTTTGTTCCTTCAACAGCTCTTGATTATTCAATTAGCATTACATTTTTTATACACATGCCTGAAAGGATTTGGTACATCTGGCACATGACTTCCTGTCTTCAAAAAGATATACTTGTTATCCAGTCTCAATACATTCACAACTAATACGATCTAAATTTTAATTAATTTATAATTTAAAGAAAATTAAAATTGTGTGATTGTTGTAGAAGAGGAACATGCAATTATTCTTTCTTTTCCTTTTTTTTTTTGGTTTCTTATAATATTAAACTAGTAGAAATAACATTCTGTTAAATGATTTAACCATGGTTAATAATAGTAAGACTTCTCTTTTCTGGTCGGATTACAAGGTCATCAAGATAAAGAACAGAGAAGATCTGGAAGGAGAATTCTCTGCCCATATATATATATGAAGTTTAAAAATTGTGCTATAAAAAAATTGACTGGCTTTATAGTAGTTGAAAGTAGCAGCTATGGCTGCTTATTAGATCCACCTCGCAAGTCGTGACAAAATTTACATTGCAATGACCAGACATTTCGTTGACTAGTGGGTGCTCAACAAACTAATGGTGTATCTAAGCGCATGTATGATATATGGTGTGACAATTTAACCCGTACGGATAGTCCAATGGACATTACAAATTTTTTACCTTTTTTGTGACGGTAAAATGCCGCCATTAATATTACAAGGTCATCAAGATAAAGAACAGAGAAGATCTGGAAGGAGAATTCTCTGCCCATATATATATATGAAGTTTAAAAATTGTGCTATAAAAAAATTGACTGGCTTTATAGTAGTTGAAAGTAGCAGCTATGGCTGCTTATTAGATCCACCTCGCAAGTCGTGACAAAATTTACATTGCAATGACCAGACATTTCGTTGACTAGCGGGTGCTCAACAAACTAATGGTGTATCTAAGCGCGTGTATGATATATGGTGTGACAATTTAACCCGTACGGATAGTCCAATGGACATTACAAATTTTTTACCTTTTTGTGACGGTAAAATGCCGCCATTAATACTTTTAATATCGTCTCAAAAAAATTTTAGCGACAGCAAAAGAAGGGTTACAACAGAGGTCGTTGTAAAAAAATTTTAGCGAAGCTTTTTTTTTTTTTGTGACGGTAATTGTTGCCTTTTGCGACGGGATTTTACTGTCACTTATAATATGTAAAAAATTGAGACTTTTTGTATTGGAACTTTTTTTACTGTCGCTAAAAATTTTATTTGAGACCGTAAAAAATGTTGTTACGAATTGTGTTTTTTTTGCAACAGCATGATCACTGTCGTCAACGATTCTAATGTTTTTTTATAATAGTGTGGTGCCATCGCAAAAAAAAAAAAAATCAATAAAATTATTAAAAATACTGTGTGGGGCCGTTGAAAAAAAAAAAAAAAAAAAATGCAATATAATTATTGAAAATATTAAAATTATCTGTATTAAATGAAAAACAATTGAAAAAAAAAACCAATAATTACATAATAATATCAAAATTCCTACATAGAAATAACAATTTCTCCATAATAAAAATAGTCTTACATCTATAACTACACATCAACAAAATTACTCACTGCATAATGTTCCATAATACATATATGGAAAATGTTTGGGACCCCCTTTTAGGGAAACCAGCACCACCCCCACAGTGATGTGGATCAATGATGTGTCTGCATATATATATATATATTTTTTTTTTTTTCTTTCTCTTTCTTACTTGGGCTAATCACAAGTGAATGGGGGTGACGTTTTGTAAGGGTTTGAATCATTACTGTACATATATAATGTTTAAATACATAATGTAGTTCATAATTCAAAATAACATAAACCAAAATTAAAAGTTTTTCTCATCATTCTCCGTGGGTAACAAAAATAAAAGTTAGTCGCATTTTTCACAAGCATGTATTCCACAAGAAGCAAACACTTACTCAGAAAATATCTGAAAACAAAAAATAAAAATAATTAATGACAATAAATTATGTGTTAATATGTTAATAACGGAAAAATATAAAAATTTAAGTACTATACAATTACAAAAATAATTAAGTAAATAATTTTGCTTAGACCGAAATCTGACTCTGACTCTCAAACCGAGAACGTGAATCGAGTCTCGTCTTTTCTCATAAGTCTCTCGTGCTTAGGCGGTCGTGTGTGCTAAGTTTCATGCTGATTTGATGTCGTTTGGTAATTTTGGGCAATCAATACCTCGAATTATAAGTTTCTTAAGGAATTCGTTTGCCTAGAGGGAACTCCGGCTCTAACTCCCAAATTGGGAACTCGATTCGAGTCCCGTCTTCTTCCACAAGTCTCTTGCGCCTAGACAATCGTGTGTGCTAAGTTTCATACTGCTCCAACGTCGTTTGGTGATTTTGGGGCTTTAACACCTCGAATTCTAAGTTTCTTAAGAAACTAATTTGTCTAGAGTGAAATCCGGCTTTAACTCCCAAACCAAAAACCCGATTCGAGTCATGTCTTCTTCCACAAGTCTTTCGCGCCTAGACGGTCGTGTGTGCTAAGTTTCGTGCTACTCCGACGCTGTTTGGTGATTTTGGGGCTTTAACATCTCGAATTTTAAGTTTCTAAAGAAACTAATTTGTCTAGAGTGAAATCCGGCTCTAACGCCTAAATCGGGAACCCGATTCGAGTCCCGTCTTCTCCCACAAGTCTCTCGTGCCTAGGTGGTCGTGCGTGCCAAGTTTCGTGCTATTCCGACGCTGTTTGGTGATTTTGGGCCGTTAACACTTCGAATTCTAAGTTTCTTAAGAAACTAGTTTGTCTAGAATGAAATCCGGTTCTAACTCCCAAATCGGGAACCCGATTTGAGTCCAGTCTTCTCCCACAAATCTCTCGTGCTTAAGCGATCGTGTGTGCCAAGTTTCATACTAATTCGACGCCGTTTGGTGATTTTGGGGCGTCAACAACTCGAATTCTAAGTTTTTTAAGGAACTAGTTTGCCTAGCGTGAAATTCGGCTCTAACTCCCAAACCGGGAACCCAATTCGAGTCCCGTCTTCTCCCACAAGTCTCTCATGACTAGGCGGTCGTGTGTGCCAAGTGTCGTGCTATTCCGACTTCGTTTGGTGATTTTGGGGCGTTAACACCTTGAATTCTAAATTTCTTAAGAAATTAATTTTTTTAAAGTGAAATTCGGCTCTAACTCCCAAACCGGGAACCCGATTCGAGTCCCGTCTTCTCCCACAAGTCTCTCGTGCCTAGGCGGTCGTGTGTGCCAAGTTTCGTGCTACTCCGACACTGTTTGGTGATTTTGGGGCGTTAACAGCTCACATTCTAAGTTTCTTAAGAAACTAATTTGTCTAGAGTGAAATCTGGCTCTAACTCCCAAATTGGGAATTCGATTCGAGTGCCGTCTTCTTCCACAAATCTCTCATGCTTAGGTGGTCGTGTGTGCCATGTTTCGTGTTAATCCGAAGGCGTTTGGTGATTTTGGGGGCGTCAGCACCTCGAATTTTAAGTTTTTTAAAAAACTAATTTGTTTAGAGTGAAATCCGACTCTAACTCCCAAATCGGGAATCCGATTCAAGTCCCGTCTTCTCCCACAAATCTGTCGTGCCTAAAGGGTCATGTGTGCCACGTTTCGTGCTACTTTGACGCCGTTTGGTAATTTTGGGGCGTTAGCATCTCGAATTCTAAGTTTCTTAAGAAACTAGTTTATCTAGAATGAAATCAAGTTCCAACTCTCAAACCGGGAACCCGATTTGAGTCTCGTCTTTTTCCCACAAGTCTCTTGTGCCTAGGCGGTTGTGTGTGTCATGTTTCGTGCTACTCCGACGCCGTTTGGTGATTCTGGGGCGTTAACACCTCGAATTCTAAGTTTCTTAAGAAACTAATTTGTCTAGAGTGAAATCCGACTCTAAATCCCAAATCGGGAACCCGATTCGAGTCCCGTCTTCTTCCACAAGTCTCTCGTGCCTAGGCGGTCATATATGCCAAGTTTCATGTTACTCCGATGCTGTTTGGTGATTTTGGGGCGTAAACACCTCGAATTCTAAGTTTCTTAAGAAACTAATATGTTTAGACTGAAATCCGACTCTAACTCCCAAACTGGGAATCCGATTTGAGTCCCATCTTCTTCAACAAATCTCTCGTGCCTAGGCGGTCATATGTGCCAAGTTTCGCGCTAATCTAACGCCATTTGGTGATTTTGGACGTCAACACCTTGAATTCTAAGTATCTTAAGAAACTAGTTTGTCTAGAGTAAAATCCGACTCTAACTTCCAAACCGGGAACCTGATTCAAATCTCGTCTTCTCCCACAAGTCTCTCGTGCCTAGGTTGTCGTGTGTGCCAGGTTTTGTGCTACTCCAACGCCGTTTGGTGATTTTGGGGCGTTAACACCTCGAATTCTAAAGTTTTTTAAGAAACTAATTTGTCTAGAGTGAAATCCGGCTCTAACTCCCAAATGGGGAACCCGATTCGAGTCCCGTCTTCTCCCATAAGTCTCTCATGCCTAGGCGGTTGTGTGTGCCAAGTTTCATGCTACTCTAATGCCATTTGGTAATTTTGGGGCATTAACATCTCGAATTCTAAGTTTACTAAAAAACTAGTTGTTAGTGCGAAATCTGACTCTAACTTCCAAACCGGGAACCCGATTCGAGTCCCGTATTCTCCCACAAGTCTCTCATGCCTAGGCGGTCATGTGTACCAAATTTTGTGCTAACAACGGAAAATCCTTTGTCTTTCTTTCTAATTATGGAATTAGCCTCTATAATTTTGGACTGTGTACAGTTAATGTATGGTTTTTCTTAGCTTATAATGCAAAGAAACATTTTATACCTCATCTTCTGGTGGTGGTGTCTATGGAGTCTCATCTCCTGCAGATTCCCTAAATACTCGGTGGCCACTTAATGCATCAGGAGTCTATGACAGTCCATACATAATATGTTAATCATATTCAAATTTTATTATATATATAAATATATATGTTGTATGAAAATTTAACTATCAAACAATTTAATTTATATCGAACATGTCTGTTGAGATCCAGACTCGCCCTCTATGACACAAAGGTCATCATCTCAGCTCTCATCTGCTGTAAATGTGTAGAAAACTTTGCACGCATCTCCTCCCTCAATTCATCCTTTAGCTCTGCACGAACATGCTGGGTGATCTGAACAATAGTCGATGGCTAGGGTGTTGACCATGATGGCCCAACACTATCTTTATACACCGCGCTTTGAGGCACAGTTCTCCCGTAAGTCCGACAATATCCACGTTCGTCATGACCTATCAACTCATGGAAAAATGGCATTCCTAGCCTCTAAAGTCTGGCAATCCTCAGGTAGCATGAAGAGTTGACAATTAAACTCATCCTGTATTGAATAAGACATACAAGTATATGTCAAATTAAGATGGTTGACACAAAAAATAAAAAATAAAATTTAAATTCAATGTTAGGTGTTTGGAAACTACCAAGGTTTAGATAACCTTAGAGTCATCTGCTCTACGTATCATAAGCCAAACATTCATCTTATCAATAGACTCCCTATTGCTGGTCATCTAGATTTTTTTAGAAATATGAAAATTAGAATCCAAATAATTTTCAAATATATAATGCTTATTTATATAAAAAATATAAACCTCATACCGAATCTGAGCGAAAGTAGTATGCCCTGTAGTATGAGGTATGCCGTGAGCTCGTCAATTTTTAGCGTTCTTAGTTGCAATTTTTTGTAACAGATTCAACAAATGGCAGTTCATAAATATGATTTGTATGTTTACATATCATACATATAACTTATTTGAATACCTTAGCATCGAAAGTGCGCCAATACTCTACAAGTTCTTTCCACTGGCTTGGCACAATGTGCAAAGAAACATCATCCTTTAGATTAGGATCAAAACTTCTAGGCTTGAAATACTTTGTCTTAATTTTATTCTTGTGATCCTTCCATATGCTGTTGTAGGTTTTCATGCAGATTGGCTAATACTCTTCTGGGCATACATTCAAATTGTCCTACAAAACACAATTTAAAAGTTTAAATAATAATAACACAATTTTGGAATTTGAATTTTTGGACAAAAATATATTTTTACATTTACATCCTTCCAGATAGTATTAATAATATCGTCAGGCACAGTGATCCAGTCAAGAAAAATAAGAGGAACAATGTTACCATTGCACACAATAAGGCCAAGTTGAGTAGTTAACTTAGACACATTATCCCCTATTGGGCAATAATTTTCGTCAAATTGTATGTCCAACTTTGTACCAGTACCTTACTCCATAATGCCCTTGGTACATCCTCTACCACACCTAGTTGAGGTTGATGAAGAACTAACATGACCTGCGAGATATAATAAGAATAAACAATATACAATGATAATAAATAAATGCAAATTTAAAAAATGTTAATACAAATCGAATTCTTATACCTGAGGTGGGCTGTGAAGAAATTGAAGGGTCTGGAAGATACAATGAGAATAAACAAGTTATATATAATGAAAATAAATAAATGTATATTTAAATAATTTTCATACAAATCAAAGCAAATTTATATACCTGCGGTTGGCTGTGGAGATGATGACTCTAGTTGGGATGATAGCTGCTGTGGTGCCACTAATGGTGGACACACCGGTGATAGGCCTGGAGGTTGAGTAAATGATAGCTGCTGTGGTGCCAATGATAGTGGTCGATGTGGTGGCACTAATGGCCCCTCTAATGGTGGTCGCTGGGATGCCTCCTCTAATGGTGGTGCCACTAATGGTGGTCGCTGCGATGGGTGGTCAAATGGTGGTGGCACTAATGGCCCCTCTGATAGTGGTCGATGTGATGCCTCCTCTGATGGCAGTGCTACTGATGTTCTCTTATGTACCACATCGGACATCATGCGTAGGGAATGATCAGGTTTCTTCTTTCTTGCCATAAGAATTTGCAAACAATATGATATTAATTGACATTAGAAACATGAAGAATGGTTTTGAATCAACTATAATATGGCATTAATTGAACTAATATAATTACAAAGACAAAGTAAATTAAGAAACTGATGATTAACTACAACCTTGGCCTTAATTCAATTACTGATGTTGATTAAATATCAGTCTATTTCAACATCAACTATTTCCTCTTTTGCGACTTCCCTCACTCAACCAACTTCTTCATCACGGAGCATTATATTTTCTTCCAATTGTTGGCTCATATATGGCTCGATTTCTGGATCAGTCAAATTCATATCAAATACACCTCTTTGAGACATCTTCACCACCACTTGCCAGTCTGATTCTAACGGGTCTGCAACATACCAAACTTGCTCTGCTTGGAATGCCAAGATGAAAGGTTCATTGGTAATTCGATCATCTTGGTACAACAAATGATTGAAGTTGACCAATGTGAAATTGAAGACATCTTCTTTCTTCCATTGAATGTTCTCAATCCAATTACACTTAAACAACACATGCTTCTTCTCATTGGAATATCGAATCTTAACAATATCTGTCAATTGTCTATAATAGTACACAGACCTCACACGAGGATTCTTGTCTTTCTAACTAGCATAATTTATGGTATCTACGTTCAAAGCTACACCATAATTTTGTGTGGCTCGATGGTCATCCATGGCCTTTACTCGACACCGAAACCCATTCCTTATATTCCCGTTAAACCTCCTTGTCAGGTTATGAGGACCATTTGCCAATAGAATAATCTCTTCAGAAAATGTGACATCACTAGTCCTTCGCAAAGTTTGGACCTATTTAAAACAAAAATTTAAAATGTAGTTCGACTTAGGTAACTAGAATCTGTAGATTTAAATACATATATGTTCCTTGAACCAAAAGTGTAAAGTTTCAATATGTTCACGATGAAGTTGATGATCGTCGACATGAGGCATTTTGAGCTTAAGTACTTCAAGGTGTTTGCTGTGTAGATTGAAAATTTATCAATAAAAAAATTTTGATTCAAAATTTAATAAAACATAATAAAATATTGAGTGACATAACCTATTTTATGAATGGTTAAACCACGCTTGTATTGAATAAGACATACCGATGAGCTTGTACCCAAGAAATATAATCAAGATAAAAGCTTGTGTTTTCACTAACAACATGACCCATATTATCATCACTACTGTAGTTCCTCACGGGTCGACTAGATTTGGTTTCCACATCATTGAGATATTGTGCACAAAAATTCATGCATTCTTCCATAAGATATCCTTTAGCAATTGAACTTTCTGGATGAGCTCTGTTACGCACGTATTGCCTCAAAGTAAGAAGATACTTCTCAATTGGATACATCCATCGAAACTAAATTGCTTCAGCCAATAATGCTTCATCAGCTAGATGTACAGGCAAGTGCTTCATTATATCAAAAAAAGTTAGAGGAAATATTTTCTCTATATGACAAAGTGTTACAGCGATACAATCTTGAATATATTGCAAATCTATCGCACGATTTACTTTGGAACACAATTGTCTAAAGAAATTGCTCAATTCAATCAATGGTTCAATACATTCTTCGGTAACGATCTTCGAATAGCTAATGGAATAAGTTGTTGCATCAGAATATGACATCGTGGCTCTTAAGACCCCTGCACACGACGCGATATATTGGATGAATACCCATCGGGAACTCTAACTTCCTTCAACACTTTCAAGAACAAATCTTTCTCAGCCTTGGTCATCGTGAATTGTGCTGGTAGTAAATAAGCTTTATTCGACCCTCTTAACTGCAAATGTAGGGGTTTTCTAATATTTATATCTTGTAAATCACGCCGAACATTAACACCATCCTTCGATTTTCCTGCAACCCTTAATATTGTCCACAACACATTGTTACATACATTATTCTCTATATGCATCATATTGAGGTTGTGTCTTATTAGATTGTGCTCCAATATGACAGTTCATAAAAGATACTCTTTTTCTTCCAGCTATGGGTGCGATGTCCAACTTTCCCCTTGTCTACTTGTTTCCTATACCTCTCTTTAAGGCCATCCCTCTTGTATTGGGTTAAAATACTCTCAGATTCTAATTGTAGCAGCATCTCAGTTCCAAATAACAATTTTGGTTTGAGTTTGACTTCCCGACTACCATAAAATGATACTTTATCCTTTTGGAATTTATGGCCACTAGGTAAAAATCTGCGATGACCTAAGTATGATTGTTTTCTACTATGCTTCAATCAACACGATGTAGTTTCCTTATTGTAACAAGGACATGTATATTTGCCTTTAGTGCACCATCCTAACAAGTTTGCATATGTAGAAAAATCACTAATTGTCCACAGCTGATGCATCAAATGTGGAGACATCGTCATTCCATAGTTCTTTCAACTCCTCAATCAACGGTTGCATATACACATCAATCTTGTCACGAGGTCCTTTTGGGTCGTCAATACGCACAAATAAAATTAGAAATGGTTGCTTCATGCTCATCCATGGTGGCAAGTTGTATGAAATGAGCACAACAAACCAAGTGTTATAAACTATGCTTATCATCCTAAATGGGTTAAAACCATCATATGCTAAGCCAAGCCTTACATTTCGGCAATCATTACTAAAGTCAATATTCCGACGGTCAAAATCTTTTCATGCAAGGGAGTCTGTAGGATGCCTAAAGACACCGTCATCAGTTCGTTCCTCTGCATGCCATCTCATTAACTTGACCGTCTTAGATGACATAAACAACCTTTGCAACCTTGGCTTTAAGGGAAAATACCTCATCTGTTTTGTAGCTATTCATTTGCCACCTTTGTAGGATCATTTGAACCACCATCACCATTTGATTTTCATCTAGAACTGTTACATATGACACATTTATCAAGATTGGCATCCTCGTTTCGAAACACCATGCAATTGTTGGGATATGCATCCCACGTCTCATACGTGAAGCCCAAATCTGTTGTGACCTTTTGAGCTTTATAATATGACTCCGGGAGTTTTACGCCCAACGGGAATGCCTCATTCAATAACTCAAGCAAAATGTCAACAGATTTGTCTGTCCACTAATTAAGCACCTTCAGATGTAGAAGTCAAACAATGAATGACAAAGATGTGAACTTTTGACAACTTGGATACAAGTCACTTTGAGCATCTTGAAGAAGTTTGAAATACTTTGCAGTCTCTGCATTTGGACCAAGCTGGGGTTCAAATGCATGGGAATCAGGCCCCTATGGTTCATTACCCTCAACACTTGTACCGACATGCGGATTTCTCATAGCCCTTTGTATCATTCCAACCATATTATCCCCAATGTCTAAATTAGCCAATGTTTCATTCTGTCGATTACCATGCAGAGATACATAAGATTCCTCATGATTAATCCAATGTTTGTACTTTTTTAAAAAATCATTCAAAATCAGATGCTCCCGTATACCCTCTCGTACAAGATGGTATTGATTTTCACATTTCTTACACAGACAACTAATCATTGAACCTTCAGTCCTATTGGTGTTGGTAAACACAAAGAATTGATCAATCCCATTAATGTATTCCTTCGACATCCTATTTGGCAAATCAATCCAACTCTATCATCTGTACTTCCCTTAAATATCGCTTCTGCACACATCTACAAAAATATCTCATCAAAGTAACTCTAAATATAATACCTACGTATTCATGCATCATGATACCTATCCGTCCAATTTCTCTCAAATAGGTAGGTGGTCTTATCCCATATAGTTATTTACTGATTTGATGGGAGAACCAATAACCTGATAACAGACTGAAGCAATCATATCCAAAGAAAATGCACTTGACTTTGACGTTTACATTGAGAACATAAATAAATGAAATACTTATACAACAACACATGGGACATAAAAATGCTACAAAACACCAAGTATTCCATCACTAATTCAACATGTCTAGAACATCAAGAGATGCACAGAACATCATAGGCTTTAAGAGCCGGGAAAAAAAAATGCAAACAAAAATAATTGCACCCTCATCTCTTGGTATCAAAGCTATGGGTATATATATAGGACTATGTAGGAGTGTTGTACAAAGGAAAGGGAAAGAATAAGGTAGGGAGAGAATAAGGTAAAGAAAGAATAAGGTAGGAAAAGAAAAATGTAAGATTTGAACATACCTAATAGGGAGGAGCCTATAATCTAAATATGGAATACAATACAAAGAATAATATATACATATATAATATGTTAATTATATACATATATAATATATTAATATATTTCATATATTAACATCTTAAAACAAGTAGTACACTTCCATTCCATAGCAATGAATTTAGCTATCCAAAGTAATCCAATTTCTCAACTATTTTCTTGAAAGATTCCTTAGGAAAAATAAAATGTATAATATAGAGTGAACAAATTAGAAGCAGCATACTAATAACTCTATTTCAAGAACCTAAACAAGTTATGTACCTCATCTAGTATATAAAGTGAAGCTGGTTTGAAGCACAAGTCTATCCATAAATGTGTCTATTTAATAAATTTACTTTCATTATTGTCATTCTTTTTTCAGTTCCACAAGTCTGAACAAAAGTAATTTGAACAAGTGTTTTCAGTATTAAAACACTAGGAAATAAATTAACCCGAAAAATGTGACCTTAAGTGAGTTCAAATACTAAAAATTACCTAATTACCTCACATGTTGATTGACACCAAAAATTCCTACTACTGTAATGTTAGGCATTCTCTTCTTTTTCTTGCTCGTATTAAATGGCATGTTAGGGCATACTTACCCAAATGTTAATTTGAGTAAAAAAAACAACCCAAACCCTTCACTCCTTGATTCAAACTCATCAAATTAAGTTTTACTCAAATTTTACACAAATGAAGGGAGATTTGATTTAAATCTTGACTCAAATGTCCAAAGGTTATATGTGCTTCATTTATTTACTATATTGCCATGTTTGATATGATGGAAAATTTAAAAAATAATTTGAGTAAAAATTGGCATTTTCCATTGGAGTTTTTCATATCAAATGAAACTTTTACTCAGATTTGAGTCATCATTGGAGGTGGCCTTAGGTGTCTGTCCATTGTACATTTATAATTACTGTGTATAACAACATTAAGTTTGTTAATTAATGAATATCAAATAAACTCAATACCTTCGGTTAACTCTCCAAAAGACCAGACATATTAATCTTTGCATGCATTGGTTTTGAAAGCTCTTCAAGGAATAAGGCATACATCATAATGGTCTAATGGTTTCAAACTCATTAAATTTTAAGGATCTGAAATGAATTGATTTGACATCACTAATTTAAGGCACATTTAATTCAATGTAACCAATGGATTTGAGAGCTTTACATTGTAGGATTTTAAATAACATGGAGAATACAATTATTGGAAATCTGCCTACAAAGTATTTTATATGTACAAGGATCATACCAAAATCAATCTCTCACACACCATTCAATCCTCCACCTCAAAATTATTAATGTCTAACCTTGTTATAAATTTGAAAAATCTAACCTCATAATTAGGCACAATTAAAATTTTTGAAAACAATGAACAAGTAATCCACATGAGTAAATCAACTTTGCATTGGACTAAAAGACAATATTTGTAGAGGGTTAGATGCAAATTATAGTTTATGAATGAATTAATTGATGTTCTCTCACCAAGGTTCTTGTCAAGGGTCTTGGTGAATTGGTTCAAGGGAGGTGGGACCTTCAAGCGCTGGTTAAGGATCCTTCTCTTCCTCTGAATTTGAACAACCTTGGGCCATTTCACAAACCGATGCAGATCTTTCTTCGGAGGCAATGGCCCCCTATCCCAAATTGCTTTGGACGCTTCTCGAACAACGGGTTCACTACCTTCTCTTATACCATATGTGGGGACATATTTTTTGAATACCAACACATGGCATGGTGACGCCGACGTGTCAGCCGAGGTGCCACGTGTCCTGGTAGTTAAGCCGAGGTAATCGCGGAGAGGCCGAGGTCATCTCCTAAGATGTCGGAATCCGAAGATAAGGGACAAGAGTCCTGGAGCAAAAAGGGAACTTAATTAAGATAAGGATAAATCTCTTAGGGAGTTTATCTCTATCTCCTAAAGAGTCCAGAGTAAGCACTAAGATTGGAGTTCATAGAAGTCATACTTCTAGTTGGACTTGGATTGAGTACATTATAAAAGAAAGGCACCCCCGTGGGTCTAAGGTATGTAATTCATACTTTGAGTATTCAGTTTAATACTTGATTATCCTTGAGAATCATACTGACTTGATCGTCGGAGTGCCCCCGGGTGGAAGAACCACCGCCGGAGCTTTTCTTTTCTGTTACAGGTTGCTGGAGCCATCTATTCTGCCGGTGCTTAGCTGCTGATCACTAAACGGGCAGTGTGGTCAGATTTTTACCCACACACCATATATATACCATCATATATCAACATATTAATTATAGAAAAAGACTGACTACTTATTTGTGAAAATTAATAGAGATATGATTCTGTGCCAGTTTCTTCTTAGCTCCTGCAGTTGGTTTCACACCTTTCTTTGGGGCCTTCAAAGTATAAAAATGAAATTAACATCGATGATTAATCAAAACCAAGTTTTTTCAAACTAAAATCCAGCAGCATGAAATGTAATCGCGATTAGCTTAAGAAATGTAATCGTAATTACTTATGCCTAGTTGTGAACAACACAGAGACATATATAATACATATACATATATATATATAGAGAGAGAGAGAGAGAGCATACATGCGTCACTCCCTGAGTGAGTGAAAGAGGAGCGATTGAGACTGACTGAGCTCGCGCGAGAGAAAGACAGAGACGCCGCACCACCGCTAGCCATCGTCGAGAGAGAGATCGTAATACGCTGTTGCCTCATCATCGCTAGCCGTTGTCAAGAGCGATTGAGACTACTAGCTGCCGTCGCTCGTCGAGAAAGAGTTCGTCGATGAACACTTGCCGTCGTCGCTCGTCAAGAAACTTGTTTTAGGGATTTTGGGGGAAAATGATCTTGCTTCAAAGGTTTTAGGGATTTTGGGGGGAAACGATCGAGCGCCAATGGGCTAAAGAAGCGAGATATCGAAATTTTTTCATTATTTTTTGCGACGGTATATTAAACCGTCACAAATGATAAATCCAATAGGTAAAACGACGCCGTTTTAATAAGGGTTTTTTTGCGATGGAAAATTACTGTCATAAATTGTCCACTATTTGCAACAGTAAATTTCTCCTGTCTCAAAAAATTTCTTTTTGCAACGGTACACAAGGCGTCGCAAATACTTCCGTATTTAACATACCTTTTCTTGTATGGGTAACTACTGTTGCAAAAGCTATTTATTTACGACGGTTTAAAATCCTGTCGCAAAAGATCATTTTTTGTGACGGGATATGCGCCGTCGCAAAAAAGTTCTGTGTTTTATAAGGACTTTTCTTGTAGTGGGTTGAAGGGCAAATATTGAGGTGACACAAACTCGGATTTCTTGGATTAGTGATTGCAGATGTCTGGAGTTTACTTGTCCCAAAGGTCTCACAGATAAGTTAGTGTGAAAGTAGTTGTTCCAATGAACCAATAATCAGCTTTAGACTTTATTCAATTGGGAACACTACCCTCTTGACATTATATGGATTGAATGGTAGATGGAGGGGTGCGACTTGAGGACAGATTGGTGGACTATGTATATGCACATAAACCCAAAAAAATTGTTCTCTTCTATTGAGAAACTCATAGTGTTAGTTTCATCAGTCATGGATCCTCCATCGCCAGAAGCGCCACTGCTGCCACTACATCCACCCCCACCTGCACGAGCTGGCGGAGGACTTTTGGAATTATTGTAAGTTTCTTTCTTTATTTCTTTCTTTCTTTTCCCCCCTTATTTTTTTATTTTTTATTTTTTCACTTTGAAAGTCCTACAAGAGAAGTTAGTGAAGCTAAAACTTCACATGACTTCTCATATATATGTTTTTGCAGCTTGTGGTGTCTGTGCTGTTGTGGTCTGTTCACATGCTGCTGCACTCCACTGTTTGAGCCTGGGCCTCCACCTCTGTAAGGATACATTGGGCAATTTGGTTAGTCTGTTAGATTGTGCTTGGTTACCGGGAATGAAGGTAGAATCAAATTATCTTTTCAGAATGTTTGTTTTTACGTTTAGTTTATCAAAAACATGATTAAAAACACAGCATAAATGAAATTATCATCTACCATTGTAAATAAGTGAATGATTATTTCATAATATTTTATTTTATTCTAATAAACTAAACATTATCTAATGTGTCAATGAAATTATTACGTTAGGGCATTGATTTAGACCCCCTTAAAACACCCACCCCACAACCCCCTTACACACATGGAGGTTGGGGATCGGGTGAGAAGAAAAAAAAAAAAAAAAAAAAAAAAAAAAAAGTTGACCAATCAAAACTAAAAGGGATCAAGGAGTGACCCCAAAGGGGTCTGAACCTTATCATTTTTACTTAGTTTATAAAATAAAATACAAGGAGTGATGGAGACTCTCTCCAATCACCACTCCCACCACCCCCACACACATGTGGCAGGTGATGATTGAAGGATAAGGGAAACCAAAAAAAAAAGAAAAAAAAAATCCAACCAATGAGAAAGAGAGGGGGTCAAAGGGGGTGGAAAAAAAAAGGGGTCTTAGACATTTTTCGTAAAATACCCATTTAATTTAGCCCAGCTGGCTCTCTTTGTGGGACCATCTTCGGCTTGAGTCCAGCCTGGTGTTGATCAAATGGGCTTGCATTCCCATAAATTGTGCTCAGCGTGGGCCTAAATTAAATGTGATGATCTGGGCCAGAAGCCCAAGATCTGGCTGGCTTTACTTTGTTGGTTTAAAATTCTTTAATTAATCTTCAAATTTCAACATTGCCTACTAAAAAAATCACTCAACTAGGGGGCTTGTATACAATTTTCAAATTAAAAAATATTATAAAAATTAATAAAACTTATGAATTTTTATATATAAATTTTAATAAAACTCTTTGAAATTTGAAACAAGACCTAATTTAGTAATGTGATGGGTATCACATTATTTGAGTAAAAATATTTTGTTAGTTTATATAATATAACTTAATCAAGTGATGGATTTGTAAAACATTTGCCATCTTTGTGGGATCACCTTAATTCTTTGTGCGATGACCTTAGTTTGTATAACATTACTTAATCAAATAAGACCAGTTATTTCTTTGTTTTTTTTAAAAAAAAATCTTTTTTTTTTTTAAGTGAGAGCCTTTATTAAAACACTATCATTCTTTTTGTTTCACACTATTTTTTGAATTTTTATAATTATCATTTTGTTCCTCTAACAAATTATTATTAAAGACAATATGTATTGATTGTCATCTATGTCATTGCAAAACTGTCATCGTTGTCGCTACCACTATAACCTCCCTACCCAGCCCCTGCTACCGTGACCCAACTTCCCTATCCCACTCTTGCACCATCCTTTCCCAACCCTCCTTAACCCTCACTACACCCTTTTCTATACCCTTGCACCACCATCTTTGTCACCTTTCAATCACCCTCAAAACTCTAGACTTTTGCCTCCCCACCTTGAAATCTTATAAGAAGAGGTAGCAAAGGGTAAGTGATTGGTAAGCAGGTAGTAAAGAGGAGGGGACTAAAAAGAATGTGGGAGAGAAAAGGGCGGTTGTTTGGGGTTATAGGGAGGGGATTGAGATTGATAGTGAGGTGAAACTATTATATGGGGTGTTTGTTTTGAGAGATGGAGAGGGGACTACTAATCCCTTGGTATTAGTAAAGGTCTTGGAAGGGGGATTGGTAAGGAGGAGGTAGAGATGGTATTAGAAAAATAATGAGGGGATTAGAATTTTATATATTGGGAATTTTTTTTAAATATTAATGTTTAATTTTTTATATTTTTTTATTTGTTTTATTATTTTATATAAAAATAATTTAACAATTCCTCACTATTAATCCCCTCACTAACAATCCCCTCACTATTAATCCCCTCACTATAAATCTCCTCCCATTCTATCTCTGAAAACAGACGGGAATAGTGTTAATTGATGGTTTAAGGTTAGGCTCTGTTTGTTTTCAAGGTAAAATAGAGGAGATTAATAGTGAGAGAATTGATAGTGAGGGAATTAAGTAAAATTGTGTTTGTTTTGATGATAGTTGTTAGTGTAGGAATTGTTAAATTACTTTTATATAAAATAATAAAACAAATAAAAAAATATAAAAATTAAACATTAATGTTTAAAAAAAATTCCCAATATATAAAAAATAAAAATAAATAAAAAAATTTCTAATCCCCTCACTATTTTTCTAATATCACCTCCACCTCCACCTCCTTCATCCCAATCCCCCCTTCCAAGCTCCATCTGAATCCCCTCCTCCATCCTAATCCATTCTCCAACTCTACAAACAAACAAAATACTAAATAATCTCACATCCATCCTAATCTCTTCCAATCCATTATACCTCAAAACAAACGGTGCCTTACAAAGTTGGAGATGGAGGTATTCTAAGTGATCTGAACCAAGTAAATTTTTATTTTTTTATTTTTTTTTATGTATATGTGTAAGAACTTAGTAATTTTTTAATCAAGAGAGGTGTGATGTGCAAATAGAAATTTTCAATAATCATGCCCTTGATATTGTTATATATTTATAAATCCTCCCCACCGTTTGTTGAGTGCTCTGTCTGCCACTAATAAGTTTGACCAAACCAAACCCCATGCCTCCATGACCCTCTCCGAATGAATTCAAATTTGACCACTTCCAAATTTATTTATTTATTTTTATTCTCTTCTTTTCTTTCATTCATTCACGTATATTATATTGGCAAATTCCTTTTTTTTCTATGAAGGGCTACTCAAACTATTAAAATAATTACACATCTTTTAAAATGAGTGAAAAAAATTATTTTATTAAATAATATCTGAACTGTGTGAGTGGCTTTGAAATATTTTTTATTTTATTTTTAGACAAGTTTAAAAGGTCTCGGTTGGCATGCTATAATTTTAGTTTAAAAGTTAAAAAAATTACTAAAAAATTAAAAAGCCTATAACTTATATCAAAAAGTTAAAGATTCACTTTTCTCTTTATTTTTTACACGTTTTTTTCGTAAAAAATTAAAAAATCATTCCAAACATACTAATTTTTTTACCTTATATTTTAACCAAAAAATCAAAAAATTACTAAAATAACATATTCTCAAATAAGGCCTAAGTGTTGGCCAAATTCCTAATCCATCCTTTGTACACCCCTATAGTATATACTTAAGAGGAGAAAGTATTAGAGACTAGGCCTCGTTTGGCAATAGGCCGGTTTAGTCAAAAAGTTACTAAAAAAGTCAAAAAGCCAACAACCCATATCAAAAAGTCAAAGATTATCTTTTCTCTCTACTTTTTACACATCTTTTCGTAAAAACCAAAAGTCATCCTAAACATACTAGTTTTTTTTAGCTCATATTTTAGCCAAATAGCAAAAAAGTTAATAAATTAGCATGTTCCCAAACGAGGCCTAAGGGTGTGTTTAGTTTGTGTTTTAAGATAAATTTTAAAAAAAAATATTTAGGAAGAGAGTTTAGAATTTTTTTTGGTTTGTTTGATTGTATATTTTGAAAATAGTTCTGGAGTTTGGAAATTTGAGATAATGTGATATTTTGTTGTAATTGATTAGATGTGTGAAAGAGAAAAAGTGATTGATTGATGTAACCAAACATGTTCTTGAAAATTTTCTTCCAAAAACACACCCTAAGTTCTTACATTATATGTTACACTTGTTTGATTGGTTAGTAGTTTAAGGGGTGTTTTGGTAACGCATTAAAAAAGTCAAAAGTCAACTTTTAATTCATTTTGAGTCGCATTACCTCTCACATAAGCTAGTGAAAAAAGTTTTAAAAAAAATTTAAAAAATTAACTTTTTTACACTCTTCTCTCACAAAAAAAGTCAAAAAAGTCAAAAAGTCAAAAAATCCTTCCCAAACCAAGCTTTTTAGCCCAGGCTAAAATAGCCAAAAAAATCAAAAAGTCAAAAAGCCAACCCACTTCCCAAACGGAGGCAAAGCCAACAACTCATATCAAAAAGTCAAAGATTCTCTTTTCTCTCTACTTTTTACACATCTTTTCGTAAAAACTAAAAAGTCATCCCAAACATACTAGTTTTTTTAGCTCATATTTTAGCCAAATAGCAAAAAGTTAATAAATTAACATGTTCCCAAACGAGACCTAAGGGTGTGTTTAGTTTGTGTTTTAAGATAAATTTTCAAAAAAATATTTAGGAAGAGAGTTTAGAATTTTTTTTGGTTTGTTTGATTGTATATTTTGAAAATAGTTTTGGAGTTTGGGAATTTGAGATGATGTGATATTTTGTTGTAATTGATTAGATACGTGAAAGAAAAAAAAGTGATTGAAAATGAGAAAAGAGAGAGAAAAAGTGATTGATTGATGTAACCAAACATGTTCTTGAAAATTTTCTTCCAAAAACACACCCTAAGTTCTTACCTTATATGTTACACTTGTTTGATTGGTTAGTAGTTTAAGGGGTGTTTTGCCAAGCATTAAAAAAGTCAAAAGTCAACTTTTAATTCATTTTGAGTTGCATCATCTCTTACATAAGCTAGTGAAAAAAGTTTTTAAAAAAAATTAAAAAATTAACTTTTAACCATTTTCTCAAAACACTCATAAATCTACCTTTATTTTTTTATTTTTTTAAAACAAGAATTTAAATCTACTTGATTCACTTAACCTGCTTTCAAAAAATAGGAGAGCGCTAAAATGGAAATTCAGATCACTTGTTTCGTCACCGTGAACTAATAAGATTTAAGGAGAAAATGATGCATAAAATAAGACAAGTCATGAATCAACAAGATTAAAGGAGACACAGAATGTGTTCTTTTGTACAGTTTATTATAAGTTAAAATGGATAATCAGGAAATAAAAATCAAAAGTAATTCGCCGTTTTAGCTTTTATATAATTAGTTTTTTTTAATTTATTTAAGTTATTTATGTCTATTAAAGCAAAAGGTAAATCAAACAATCTGATACAAATTTATAAAATAAAATAAAAAATTATATGTAACTCAAATAAGTTTGGTTTAATTCAGTTTATTTTTTTCCCCCAAACTTTGATTTTATTAGTGCACTAATGTGAAGTGATAAATGGATATGATGTGAACAAAAAATAAATGTTTTTATGCCGTGAGAGTTGTTTAGGATTGACTTTTTTTAGTAATTTTGTTCCTTTTTTCATGGTTAATAAAAAAATTTAAATATTTTTTAGAAAAATTTTAACTT